GGTCCTATTTTCCCACATTTAAAAATATAACACGAGAACGGGGCCTTCTCTGCAGTGGCTCCCTGTCTGTGGAATGCTCTCCCCAGGGAAGTTCACCTGAACGAGGGGGCGTTATTGGGTTATTGTTTTCGGTTTGATTTTATATGATGTGGTCTTGTTTGTGAACCGCCCTGAGACCTCGGGGTATAGGGCGGTGTATACATTGAATTAATAATAATAATAATAATAATAATAATAATAATATAGTCTATATCAATATGCTAAAATCTAGGAAAGAGGAAAACCACGTGGTTTCTGAGGAATCTTGCCATCTTTCCCATAGTCTTCATATCAGAAAGGGTACAAAGGCCTGCAGGTTTTCAGCTTAGAATCATAGCTTTGTAAAGTTGGAAGGGAGCCTGAGGTTTGTCTAGTCACACCCCCTGAAATGCAGGAATCTCAATTAAAGCATCCATCATGACAGAATAGAATATAGGTGGGATCTGAGATTTCAGCTTTAGCCGCTGCTTAACTAAACCACAGCTGGTACAAGTCATTCAGCACCATCAGACTCAAAGTGTATGGAATAGTTCTCTTTAAATCACTAATGTTGACTGTTTCCCACTGACTTTGGCCGCTCACCCTCCCAGCCTCTGAACAAATCTGTGCCCGGTAACCTGCTTTTGTAAGCTGAATATTCACCATGAATGCAAACGGCAGTTTGGCTGGAGACAAGTTAATTCCGTAAGGTCAAAAGACTTCGGTGCGAGTTGCGTTGAAACTGTGGCAATACGAGAGCCTTGTTTTGCATCCTTGCAAAATGTTTCTTTTCATATTATGTTGGATTCTTGTATCAATGAGGATGCTCAAGCTGTGATGCCTTAAATGAGCTCCCTTCAAAGCTATAATAATACGGTCATGATTGCCCGGCAATTTCTGCTATGGGCAAAAGCCTTACCTGCTGAGAGCTGAGAGCCTTCTGCACTTTGACTTAGCCCTGGCAGCTCAGGCAGAAAGAGCCGTGAGACGGGAACCTGCTGGATAGCTTTTGCCACATGACTCTAGGCCACAGACTGGACGTTAAAAGCTATCTCAGCTATGCTATATTTCTTCTTTTCATCTGGAAGTTTTATTACAGGAAACCACAGCAGAACTTATATAAAACTTGTATCACAAAGCCTTCTGTATTTGTCAGCAGTATTAACAACTACCAGGTCATTGGGACTGTTAAAATTAGATGTACTACTTACCTACAGGTGTTATTGCTATTAGTGACTGCTTAGAACATACCTTTGTGCATTTTAAACTTTGGAAAGACTGGTTCTACGATCCTATGTTTTTGTTCGTAAGCCTGCTTGGTATTTGGAAGAATAAATTTAACGAGGAGTGCACCCATCTCTGTACTGAATGAGGATGAAATGGAATTGCTACTTTGGGTTTTAAAGCTAGGGTTTATCTCAAGCCGCCCAGAGTGGCTGGGGAAACCCAGCCAGATGGGCAGGGTATAAATGATAAATGATAATAAATGATAATTATTTCTTAAGAAGATTGACTGTTTGGCTCCTGCACCAGGTAAGTCTCATTCCCAGTTCTCGAGTTAGAAAAGATCAGGGGCAGGGAGAAAGAAATGGTTAGGGGTGAAAGCGTCCCATCCCAAGAGATGCAGAAAGCCACATTCTTGGGAAATGGACCTGGGGGCTGGTTACATTCCTCCAAGGCAACAAAGAACAGAGTATCTGGCCTGGGTAATAATAATAGTTCTTTGTCCATGTGACTGGGTTGCCCCAGCCACTCTGGGCAGCTCTCAACAAAAACACAATACAGCATCAAACACTAAAAACTTTCCTAAACAGTGCTGCTTTTTAAAAATCACATACAGTGGTACCTGGGGTTACAGGTGCTTCAGGTTACAGACTCCACTAACCCAGAAATAGTACCTTGGGTTAAGAACTTTGCTTCAGGATGAGAACAGAAATCGTGCAGCGGCAGCGGGAGGCCCCATTAGCTAAACTGGTACCTTAGGTTAAGAACAGTTTCAGGTTAAGAACGGACCTCCGGAACGAATTAAGTTCTTAACCCGAGGTACCACTGTAGTTGTTTATCTGTCTGACAAATGCCGGGAGGGCATTCCACAGTGTGGGCACAACTACTGGAAAGGCCTTCTGCCTGGTTCCCTGTAACCTCACTTCTCACAATGAGGGAACCACCAGAAGGCCCTCGGAGCTGGATCTGAGTGTCTGGGCTGGATGATGGGGGTGGAGACGCACCTTCGGGTATACAGGGCCAAAGCCGTTTAGGGCTTTAAAGCTCAATACCAACACTTTGATTTGTGCTCAGAAACGTATTGCTGTTCTTACCTGAACCAAGAGAGTACACAATGTGGCAATAGCACCATAGAGTCCATTTCAGCTCATAATGTTCACTGCAGTATATACACTTTAATATTTATTTTTTAAGGAGAGGGGGAAAACCAGACCTGTAACATGCTTTGTAAGAGAGCATGTTGGTTAAAAATAAATAAATCTGAAAATACTGTTCTTTGGAAATCTGTTAGGATTTCTAACTCTTAAGTGTGATCTTTCTCCTTTTTCATATAAATTGCTATTTCTTCACCACAGTGACAAAAAAGACACCATCTGTATGACACACACAGATTTCCTGTATCAAATGCCACTCAGGCACAGTTGCCAATATTTTACAATAGTAGCTTTATGGCATCATGGACTTTGATCTAGAGTCTGGTCTGCTGCAAAGAGAAGCCTAAAGGAACGCTTTTAGAATAACAAGAGCAGGCTGGGTGCTTGTGACATCACTAGTGTTTCCTATACACAAATATGTGGGTCTTTATGGAAACATTTCTTCCAGGCTGAATACCTGCAGACGTATGACTTGAGAAATTTCTGTATGTCTTGAGAATTTTTTCTTTATATCCCCTTGGGGCCTGATTAAAATTTTCACTCCAGTGTTTTCCCCCCAAGTTATCTAAATGCACTGCAGTACTTCCAGAGGCTGAAAGGAACACAGTTAAAACTTTTGCAGCCCATTCATCAATTCATTCTTCTACAACTCATAGATGACGACTTGACTACAGTTTCAGCATGGCACCAGAAATACAAAACCAGGAAAGCAATGTAGCCTCTTCCTTTTCAGTCCTGCTTCTCAAAGGGGAACGCATTAAAGCGCTACAATCTGACTATTTTCAAAGAAAGCCATGCTCAAAATATTGTTGCTCAAGTGCTGAAAGTATATGATTTAAGCACACAATCTTTGCCCTCTCTCAAAATCACTTAAACTGTGTATCTTTTTATCGTATTAGCCACCCACTTGAAGGTAGTCACAATCTACAAATGCATTAACTTTTCTGAGACAAATCATTGGCATCCTAATCATCTGATTCCAATGAAAGGCTCCCTCTTAAGATACAATTGCAGCTGCCCCACACTGACAGTTACTGTTTCATACACATCCCTTAAAATTCTGTAATCAGCATTCGCCAGGCGCCATATCACATTCAGCACACCACATTCAGTCAATACAGACATCCCCAAACACACAGAGGCTGGTTTTGTCAAATGTTTTATTGAGTGTAGACATCTGGAGTACTGTAAAACATGCATTATCTGTAGATTCAAAAAGGAGCAAGCCATATTGTCCTCACTGTCAAACATGTCAGGCTTGGCATATATGATGGAGATTAATGAAGTATCATGAGAGTAATATGGTTCCTGAAAAGCTCCTGCAATTTGGAGTAGTCTTAATCATTTGAAATGCAGAGCTGTTCACATTTAAGTGAACTTGTACATTCACGGGAGGTGTCATAATTCAACTCAAAACAAACACAAGGGGTTTCATTTGTGGGGGTTATTCGTCCTTATGTATACAGATTTTATTTTATTTATTTTTTCTTCAAGATACCCCTATCTAAATAAAAAAAAACCCATATGATTTTTAAAGTAACAGAGTTTAATTTTGAGTAATGAACAGATCTGATATTCATTTCTTCTTAGGCTGTTGAGGTGTGTTAAATTTAAAGAAGATAACATCTCCATCTTCAACTATGTAATTTCTGCCTTGCTGTCTGTATTTCCCAGCAGCCTAGGAGAGATAGAAGAATAGATTACTGAATTAAAATGATGCAAGTATTTAAAAAACCACTATTTTGAAATGCAGTGCATATTTTGAATAAAATACTATCCGCTCAGAAAAACATTTGGTAGCTGCAAACTTCTTGACTTGGGCAGAATTTGATTGACAAATATATAATCACAATTTATTCCTCACTGCTGATAGTGAAAACAACATTGCTTTGAGATTTTCTCATGTAATGTCAATTGTGTATTTGATTTGGTTCCCTCAAAACAACAGCAAGGTGTTATTTTATTTTATATTAAAATAAACAAAGCTAACAGAAGGTATTTTTAAATCCTCCCTACCTCCTCCTTAAAAAAAATATTCTCAGTTTTCTTGATAAACAGAAGAGCCAGCAATTTAAGAGTTATTTTCAATCAACAAGAGTAAATATGTCTTGACTAAATTGGTTAGGGAAATATATTTCTCTTCCCCTCTGTCAATGAAGCAGCGTGCAATTTGAAAACAGCCAATCCCTTTCTTTTCCCAAGGAAAAGGAGGGCTGCGAAAACATCATTGTATCCAAAGAACTATGAGTGAGTGGAAGGAGAACTCTTCTGCGTTCTCTTGTGCTAAAATGAATGGGAGACATATTGCAAATACTAGTTCCCAAATATTGGGGATGCATTATTGAATAAGAAACAGTGTATAATGGGGGAAAAACAGGTTCTTGTGAAGACACTCAAACCATAAATAGGTTTTGAGAATGAACATACACTGTTTTACATAGTTGAAAGGTACTTTGGGAGCCAATACAATATCACTTTCAGTTCTCATACTCTACGACAGAGGGAAGAAATTATGGGGCCCTGTGATCCCTACAGTATGCTGAGAGGGGAGCATCAAATGAGGAACAGGCAAGGTGAGGACTCAACAAAAAGAAGCTTGGTTGGTGCAGGTAATAAATTGGCATTTATTATATCTCCTGGAAACAACCCAACTTAAAAAATGGAAGAGCAGAATAAGCATCTTAATGTGATGTTGTTAAATACGTGTTGGGGGAAGTGTACCTGAGATCCAGTCTATGTGCCAGTAATGGATTTTAAGGAAGCAAGTGGGCCAAGATCTACCTCGTGAGTTAGCATGGATAGGTTGTAATGCAACCAGAAGCAGATGAAACGATTTGCATTAATAAATCCACACGGAGCCTGTCCACAAAACTAAATCACACACCTGCAATCAGTATTTTAGCGAATGAATTTATTATGCAGGACTGATTATTTTTCCTCTATGACCTAAATCATTTTTGCAAACGATTCTAAGTACTGAAGGGAAAGCATGGACCATTGCAAATAAGGTAAAGAGGGAAAGGAAGTGAATATAATTTTTTAAAAAAACTTTACAATTTAAAGGCAAAACCTGAAACAAGGCATTCTTATCCAGCAGTTTCCAGGGGCAACTTTTATAACAATCTATTGGCAGGAATGTAAGTAATACAAGTTACAGGCAGACAATAATAACTTTAAGACAAGTGTTCTGTGAAACTAATGGTTTTTCAAAACAAGCTACTTCTTGTACTTCAGTGACAGGAATTATAGAGATCTATAAACTTGCTACTAATGTTCTCAATCTGACATTATGCCATATTATACGTCCAACATGCTACATACAGGTCCTTGATTCGATACCCACTTACACAGGAGAAAGTCCCAGTGAACTCAGTGGAGCTTACTTTTTGAGAAGACTTGTACAGGACTGCACTGAGAAGCATCTCAGAAACAACACACGACACCAGGCTTTCCCAACCTGGTGCCCTCCGGATACTGTTGGGACTACAAATTACAAGATTCCTCAACACTGGCCATGCTGACTGGGACTGATGTCCAACAACATTTGGAGGGAACCATATTGAGGAAGGACACACTATTCTTTGAGCATTGGGTGCTGCAGTAGCTGCCTTTAACCCACGACAGCACATTTATTACAACAGAATTAGTCAAAGTTCTAACTGTTTTAAGTTAATCGTCTTCTACACATTTTATAGATAAACACAGGCATCGCAGTATTCTGACTGCGAAGACTATACCCATGCCAAAAGTCAGGAGTGATTAGTTTAATTAGTGACACGTAGAAAATGCTCTCTACAAATATAAGCTGTGGTCATGGATAAAATTCAAGATTATACAATTCAACGCTTGCATCTGGTGGCCCGAGAGTTCCAATACGTGGGCTTGCATGTGTGTGTTACAGCCTCATTTCACAAGCCGCCTTTTCCTATCCCTGAAACCATGTCAGGCAATGCAGAAGGGAAGCCCCGATCTCTCGTAGGGGTTGGCGACTGAGAGGCATATAAAAGTGTAAGGCTTGATCACTTGGCTTTCTTTATCTCATGCGTGTAACATCCTCATTCAGGTACAGGTCCCAAGGTTCCTCACTGTCTTGCTTCTGGGTTTGGCAACCCAGGAGAGCAGGAAGCACCCAGCTGGAAGAGGCAAGAAGATTTTGTGCACTTCTATAAGGTCTGGACTATCTGGCTAGGATGAGACATATCAGGCCATCGCTAGGCAAGGCTGTTTTGTTAATCCTTCCTCTCTTTCCTACGGGGTGAGGAGGAGGAGGAGGATCTGAGAGAATTGGGGGTGGGGATGTTGAAACAGTAAACCACAACAGGACCTGCCGGCAGCCAACTTTAGGTCCCACCAGTCAAACCAGCCGATGGCCAGGAAATTATTAGCTTTTCTGTTGTAGAGTGGCTTAATGTACAAGCATTCTTGGGATAAGCCTGTTTCGTTCAAAGTGTCTGTGTTCATTGCTTTCGCAAAGTGGGCATAGTCACTTTTAATGAAATACATTCTGACATACTAATACAAGTATTATGTATTTTAGCTACCAGTTCACAATTAATTAAAAGTGGCTGTGTTCCTTTAAATTCCCCAGAGGCCATTTAATCCATTTTCATTGCTATCAGAAACACTGACTGGGAAAAAAAAATCAATACCCATTTGTGAGTCTTGAGTATGTATTAAACAAGACACGTCTAACCAGTTCATTTGCACTTGAAAGCAGCCATCTGTAGAAGCCAGCTTTGCCTAAGCAGATATGATTGCTAATAATGTGATATCCCTGTAGACTACAAAGCCCACACAGAGCTATTCAGTGTATAGTTCACAGCACTGGCATTAAATTAGTTATGCTGTACTGGTGTTAGACACACACAAAATAAACTTGAAAATCGATCATAACATACAAAGCAACCAACAGCCATGACCACTGTTGTTTCAGCCAAATCTGGGAACTCCCAAAATCAGCTTTGATATATAAACAGAAATAAATAGTGGCCTGTATTGTCTACAATCACAATCTGTTCCAATGTAAAGCCTATGAAAAGTGTAGCCTTCCCAAACATACACTCCTAGAGCTCTGCATTTTTGAAGTGTACCTTGTTAAAAATTGCAGAGGTACCTTGCACGCTTATTTATTTAACTATTCGGATTTCCAGCTTGCAAATATTTCGAGATGTGCAGTTTTTACAAGATTCCTTTAAGCAAGGCAAATTTATTTAATATTCAGATCAAAACACAGAAAAGTCTTCGGCGAATTTTAGATGATCACAAGACACCTTTTATGAAATATTTTTCACATTTGTAACTAACAGTAATGTGTGTGCTTTGTATAATTTATTATTTGATATTTGAATAAGCTTCCTGGCTTTATTTATGGCTGCATTTTACTTGTTTGGCTAGGGCTCGATTTCACTTTTATAAGGTGGTTCGCATGCCACAACAAACCAATTATAATGGGATTCCCCTCCCCCGCATCACATACACTTCCCGGGGTTCAAACAGACCTATTAAAGCCCTGCTGCTCAGCACAATCTTCTTTAGTGACACTACTGAGAATAACCTACATTTCAAATTATGTTACTGCATACCTTAAAAGCTATCAAACAGAAGACAAAGAGATACAATCTTCTAAACCTTTTAATGCATTCTGAAAGAATGCTTTGAATATTGCCAAATTTGAACTCTTTTCTTCTTCTTTTTTTACTGTGCTAGCAAACATGATAGGAAAGCCCAAACAAGTCCACCTTAAAAGACTGAAAATCTGAACCATATTGCAACAACAAAAATGTGGTTATTTAACTCCAGATTTAGTAAGATCTAAATCTGATTGTATCTGTTATTATATGATAACAACACAGTTATGGGCTGTTAGCAGGGCACAACTTTGGGCACCTAATCAGTTTCTGCCCTCTAGTGTTGGGAAAGAAGATGAAATTCCCCATCTTCATAAAGGTAAGGCAACATACAAACCATCTGTTAGAATAAGTGTTCCCTTCTCATTAATTTATGTGGCTACAATAAAGGAAATAATAATAAAGGAAACAATCAGGAAGTAACGTTCTCAGATGCTACAGTTGGAAGAAAATCTTACAGCTTACTATACTTCAGAAATTACCTGCTTAATTATGTGTTCAGGTGTTTTATTCAATCCACAAACAGGTTAACCATTTTAACAGAATACATCATATCCCATTCATGCTGTATATAAAACACATCCCTAAATGTTTGCCAAAGAACTGTAGTTTTGTTACACCAAACAGATGTAACAGAACCAACAGATACATATTATCTTTCTTTAACTGTTTGAAAATGATCTAACAACTGCTATATATGCTAGCATTAACAAGTGGTGCAGTTTGCAATAATTAAGTTAAAATGGTTAGTATTACTGCCCAGTCTGAAACATCAAGTGTTATTGCTTGTTTACATTTGTCCTAGTAACTGTCATACCATATTATGCCATATCTTGAACTGTATCTTAATTCTTGGCCAAAATGTAAACAGTATGTCTGTGCTCTATTTTTAGCATTGACTTCTCTCCAATAAAGTCTTAAAATAAGAAAATTGTGTTAAGGGAAGGATAGGAAGCTCACCTTGACAGCTGATTCTGAACCTCCTTCTTTAAAATCTTCAAATTTCATTACTTCAGCCATAATGAATCCCTTTTCAAAATCAGTGTGAATCTTTCCTGCAGCCTGAGGAGCCTTCGTCCCTTTCTGTCAAAGAGAAAAACCAGGAGAAAATTAATTGTATTTAGGAAGATTGATTGTGCAAGAGAGATTTCTCTATTGTAATGTGCTTTCAAGATCTGCTGAAACTTAGTTACGTATCAGTTAAAACGTCAGGAATCCAAATAGCTAATTTTCAGCACTGGGCCACAGACAGACACTTTTAGCAGAGATAAACAAACTGGTATTAAAAAAGGCAGGCTTTGTTTCTTCCTAATGCATATCAACTGCTATATTGATTTTGGATACTGTGTAGGTTTTGCAGGAATTCGATCTTTACAGTGAAAGAGAAATAAACACATTAAATAACTTTAAAAACTATACGGTCCCAGGTGTTAGTTCAAAATAAATGATGCTGATTATCTTAAAATTCTATAAAAACAATTTATTTACAGCATTGATCCAAAACATGGACATTGTCTAAGCATGAGAACACTGAAATAAAGTATATTAAAAATTAACATTTTAAAGTCATTAAATGGTATATTTAAAATGCGATGTAACAACTGAAACAATCCATAACCACCTATTTACATGCAAATAGCCCTGATATATTTAAATTATGAAGAATGCATTATAATTGCTTCATGTGTTAAACTACAAGGGCATCTATTCTATGCACACACAAGCATGGAAAGAAATTTGAGAAATAATGGTGACCTAAAGGCTGCTTAATAAACCATGTTAAAGTGCTAAGGAGTCTGACACTGTAAAGCATAGTTTTTACAATAAAAGATGTATTGGGTTAATATGGCTACTCACTGATGCTTACCTGACTAAATCTCTCAGCACATTAAATCAAAGATACTTACAATCAGTCTTAAGATAAACCAGCTTTCAGATTTCTAGCAAAGGAAAGGCATTTCTGCTACTCTGTGAGCAAGTGTCTTTGAACACATTATCCTGAGCTATGTCAAAGTGCACCATCAAACTAAATACGCTTTTATATTTTTCAAAATGATTTAGTGTGCTTGTTGCGAAGTATCTAAATATCTGCAGCATTATTTTAATTTAAAATTTACTGGAGTTAGTCAGGCCAAACCAAATTATTATAAAAAGATATAAAAACAGTACTAATAATATCCATCACAGCAAACTGAAGCAGAAGCATGTTAATGGACAAAATATTGCATTTACTATCTTGAAGAACTTATGTTTCCATTAGATCAAAAACAGAGTTTGTAGTAACATGCATCTGAAAAGAGAGCTACCCTCTATATTAAAATATATTTACATTAAAAAAAGCAAACCATTATACAGCTCAGCTTTTACTGTCCTCAGGGAATAAATTAGCCACCCTGACAGTAATCAGTTTACATCAATATACGTTTTTAAGGCATATGTAAAGACTTGATATGAACACATAAAACCATCAAAATAAACCACTCCTAAATATTCAAATATGTATTCCTCCCCAGCAGAACTGTGTACCCGCACAGAGTATAATCATGTTATATTGCTTTTATTGCTGAAAATGTAATCCGAGCAAAGCAAAAGGAGGAAAGAACCACCCGCAACCCAAACAAACTTAGCGAATACAAAATGAAAAGCAACATCAATTTCACTGCAGACAAACCCAGTCACACAGATTAAGCAAGCACAATACTGGTATGTCTTATCTCTGACCACAGGAGGAGGGTAGACAGATTCTACAGGATGAAGAAATTCAGACTATGTAATAGGCAGAATCAATTGTTACCTGCCTCAATCAATGCAGCTCCACTTTCACTGTTCAGCAGCTCACAAATAATTAAAGTTATCCTGGACAAAAACCTCATCTGTAATGACTAGCTAACCGCCACCATGACAAACTTCAAAGTCAGTGATATCAATCTGAATTCAATAGTGTGGAACTGGATATAGCTGATGAATAAGTATGAATCTTACCCTGATGGTCCATGCACGCACTTCATCGGGGCCTGCAGTGAAAAAGTATTCTAGTTGGAGTGCTGCATACCCAGCCTTAATGATCTTTGGTAAAGCACTAAAATAAAATGGAAACAAGGCCATTCAACTTATACACAAGAAAAAAACCTAAATGCCTCAACCATTCCATTTTGGGAGGGGGGAAAGAGACTATCCATTCGAAAGATTCTGAATCTTTCTTCTCATCTCTACTTTTAAGCATACTGATAATTGTAATAAGTGCATAATAAAAGCTCTCAGATGCTATTCTGAAATGGCAGCCATAGAAATCATGCTTGATTTCTTCATAAATTTGGCAAAATACAGAAAGGCAGCGTTTGGGTCTCCCGTTATTGGAGGACCCCAAGTCGCGAGAGCATTGTTATTTGACTAAAATTAAAACACTGAAATAATTTATTGCTGCTATTCAGAGAAACCAACAGCGACATATTCTCTCTCTCCCCCCAACCCAGCCTCCTCCCTGTGGATGACCAGAGAGTTTTGGTGATCATTCCTTTTAAAAAATATACATAACTAATACCTATGGTATAATTAAAACACTGTACAGAGATGACAGATGACAGTTAAAAACTTAATTTAAAATAAATCTTTTCACTCTGTCTCATGGTAAAGAAAGGAGAAGATTCCCTCTTTATAATGGTAATTACTCTGTCATTTATTATTCTATCAGCGCAAGCAATTAAATTACTGCAAGGAAATAGTTGATAATAAAGTGTAGGGAAAATGAATGCTAATTAACCTTTGTGTCATGTTCTCTTCCAGATACTTCTGTTTCTCCTCAGCACTCATTTCTTGCAACTTGAGTTCTAAGGCCCCACTAAAAGGAATGACCAAGGCGCCTGGGTCATGCTTGTCCACCCACTCTTTAATTTTTATCAACCTGTAGACAAAAAAGGGCACAACATTATCTTGTAGTGCATGCATGACTGTACCACATTCATTATTATCAAGTAGCACATACATATTCATAAGAATTGCACGGTTTTATGATGCCATCTTTTTGTGTATTGCTTTCCAAGGTCAAGGCATTAACAGGCAGCAATTGCTTCAGGTGTACTCCATTAATATTTTACTGTTATCTGCTTTTATTCTCGCACATTATAATCTACATGGAACACGAACGGATTTTTAAACGGGCTCGAAATCTGGATATGGTTTGAAGGGGATCTCAAATTAAAGCTGCACATTCGAAATACACTTTAGGTGTGCTCCAAGCGTTGTGTCTGGCACTCAAAGAAGTAGGACTATCCTAAGTAATATCATTTGGTTGCAACAACAAAAAAATCACACCAAAAAGAGCCTTAATTCCTTGCAGGCCTTCTTTTTATTACTGTTTCCAACTGCCTAGAGCAGCTACAATTTGGAACTGTAAAAATATCTGTGGACAACAGACCAAGCAATATCTGCATTCTGCCACGTGTATTGTATGGCTACAAATGCATTCAGGGTCTTTCTCCCAGTACTACCTACATCTCCATTAACTCTACAAGGCACATCCTTTTCACTGTACTACCCCTAAACCTCTCCCACCCCCAAATATGTTTACAAATGTCATTTAGTAATAGAAGAAACGAAAGGCCTGTCTAGTCCAGCATCCTGTTCTCACAGTGGCCAACCAGATACCTACAGAAAACCCCACAAGGACTTGGAGGGCAACAGCGCTCTCCCCACGTGTGCTTTCCAGCAACTCTCTCTCCATATGACCTACCAAGGACCTTGAGCAAATTCTCTTCAGGTCCTTCTTCGTGTGCCTCCTCCGCAAGAGGTCCAGAGGTCTGGCAACATGAGAACGGGCCTTCTCTGCAGTGGCTCCCCATTTGTGGAACGCTCTCCCCAGGGAGGTTCAGCTGACACCTTCATTATACACCTTTAGGCGTCAGGCATAAACGTTCCTCTTTAACCAGGCCTATGGCCGATTGACATCCGGTGCCCTTTTTAAAATATGTTGGGGAGGAGGGAATTATTGGTTTTTGTTCTTGTTTCCATTGTGTATTTTGTGTCTTTATATTGCGATTTTATGTTGTGAACCACCCTGAGACCTGCAAGTATAGGACAGTATACAAATTTAATAAATAATAATAATAATACTGAGAGAGTACACGCTAATAATGCAAGAAGCCTTCGATAATGTCATCCTCCATAAATCACCTGTTAAAATCATCCAAGTTGGTGGTCATCGCTATTATCTTGTGGCAGGTTTCGTATGAAGGAATACATCCTTTCGCCTGTCCTGAATCCTCAGCTTCATTGCATGACCTCAGGATTCTAGCATTTTGAGGGAGAAAAAATTGTCCACTTTCTCCACCCCCATGAACAATTTTATACATTTCTATCATGTCCTCCCTTCTTCTCCTCTTCTTCTAAACTAAAAAGCCCCCAAATAATTTCCTCACCAGCCCCTCGACCATTTGAGCTGCCCTTTCCTGCATCTTTTCCAACTCTGCAATATAATTTCTGAGTTGCAAAAAGTAGAACTGTACACAATATTTGAAGTGTGGTTGCACCATAGGATCTGCGTAACAGCATTAGGATACTGGCAGTTTAATTTTCATTTTGTTTTCCCTACTGAACTCCCAACACGGAATTCGTCTTTTTCAAAGCTGCCGTACACCTGGTCAACATTCTGAATAAACCATCCACCGTCTTTCTTCTACTTAGTCACTGCGGTAGCAGCAGCGCATGTGCCAGTTTTTGTAACGACCAACAATGGCAACGTTAGACTGCTTGAGCTCCCCACTACAGCTATTACCAACAAAACTGCAACAAAACATTGCAGTGTAAAATGCTCCTGTTCAGAGTTCTTACCAGTTATAGCCATGCCTTCTTCAACCATAATCCCCTCCCCAACTATTACTATTATTATTATTATTAGTAGTAGTAGTAGTAGTAGTAGTATTTATTGAATTTATATACCGCCCTATACCTGGGCATCTTAGGGTGGTTCAGAGAATAATTCGTATTCTGTGCCAAGTGAACATTCTGTTCTCAATGGGCTGCTTTTGAGAATATTCCCCTCTTAGGCTTTATGTGCTAAACTAGCCCATTAATAATAATAATAATAGTAATAATAATAATAATAATAATAATAATAATAATAATAATAATAATAATAATATTAACCACCCTATACCTGCAGGTCTCAGGGCGGTTCACAGGATAAAATCAGAATATAAAACCACAAAATACATAATCAAAATAAAAACCCAATAACCCCCCCCTTGCACTTGAATATGCAAAATACTTCATTATCTATGGCTACTGTCTTGCATGCCAGATTAATCAGCAATAACCAGTATTAGTACAATAATGTATATATGGCAAAACAAACAAATGGCAGTAATATTTGAGTGTTAACATTGATGCTAAGTTGGTTCCGTGGAATAGATTAAAACCTTTTAACTTCTGGTGATGGGGGTAAGAAACACAGCATTCCTCCACAAGCAAAAATGTCAGTGTGAAAATGGCACTTGGTTATAAACACAGACGAGATATTAGGATATCAAACAGCTGGCACTCCAGTCCAACAGGAGGAAGCTGTGAGCAAACACATTTCCTCTTGAAAACTTCCCTACCGCTTACGTATAAGGCTGCTAATGGAGCACGTTATGATCATGAGAGGTAAAACCAGGTGCGGAACTCTATACATGCCTGTCCTAAACAGTAAACTAGGTTCAGGTACAGCCTATCCCCTGACCTACTTGCCTATACAGTGATGAACACAATTTCTGCATGCCATCTTCTAGGCTACCACTGGCCAATCTGGTGCTCTCCATAGGTTTAACTCCATTTAGTCCCATGTGTCCAAAAAAACCCACAACCCTGTAGGGCACTAGGTTGGGAAGGCTGATCTAGGCTGTGGAGAGAGTAATGGGCATAACAGCCTCTTGTACCACTTGTGGTTTGCCTTGGACAATGTCCAAATCTTGCCAGAAAACAAGCGATCATCAGCGGCCAGCTTAGTAAAAAATAATAGCCAGTTGACTACAGAGGAAAACAGAAGGCTTGTTGGCCTTCGGAGACAACAGCAGAGACAACTGAGTCAGCACCCTGTAAATTAATAGTTGCTAGTGGCCAAGCAGGACCCAGCACAGGTACAGGGACATCAGAGGCCTGGAATGATGCTTCCAGCTGGTAAAAAGATTCACACTAGTAGGCTGCAGGCTCAGGCACATTATACATCACTCCATTTTCCTGGTTGCCAGTTAGCTGTGGGAAACAAGACTTTGTTCGTCTCATGTTGCTGCTGAACTCCACAGAATTCACATTAGTGGACACAGGATGCTTGTAGCATAGTACACAATCAATTCAGATGTAATTTAAAATCCAGTTGTCTGAGGATTAAGACTAGATACGTGAGGGTTGTAATATTGTGGATGTTACACACGCTTTGAAATATAAGGAAGCAAGGCACATACAGGCCTGAAGCGAGTTTTATTTAGATTTTTAAACCTATTAATTTTCCAGCTCTGGACTATGGGTTTTATGCTATTTTGGTAACCTGGTTTGAAACTGTGGGCATGCAAACCTTTAAATAATCCATGCAAATGTCAAAATTAAACGAAACCACAAGTTCATCAGTTCGCATTTGTCAAAGAAAATAGCAGGAGATCAGAGCTATTATAAGATTAAGTGTACGGTGGACAAAGAATACAGAAGCTCCTTCAACAGTTTGCACACGTGGTGTTACATAACGCTGTCCTTTCGTTACTTGTGCAAATGGCCAGTCCATAGTTTTCAATGCTCTTTATACTGCATTGCTGCTTCCTCTCCAGAATATTGGAAGGACACCGTTTAGCACCAAAGACAGTTAATGAGACATTGTTGGCATTTTAAGAATTTAACAGCAGCTTTATTTTATAGGTATGACAGCTTTGGTCTAGAAAATAATTGGATAGCAAAAGTCCCCACACCTGCAATTTCATAACACCCCCTCACACGGCAATACAGAGCATTCCAAGCCCATGCATTCCAAGTCGATGGTCTCACAATTCCCCCCCTGAAAGTTTGTTGTTCCCCCAGGACACTGTTTGCAGCTCTGCACAGTCTTCTTTGAGCAGCGGCCTACACACTGTGGCGCTGCGGTGGGGAGAACTCGCTGCTGAACGTGCACACGGGGAATGTGAAGAAAGCTTTGCATGGGCTAATGGCAATGCTGCAGGCCCCAACAAGGGGGTTAGGGGTGCGGGACAGAATGGCAAGAGGTCTATACTAACTTCTATGGAGGAGCTTTCATTTTAGTTCAACATGTGTGGGGCAGCAGAATTTCATCCCAAGCTGCCAGATTGCCATTCTACTAAAAAAAATTCCCAAATAATGTGCAGAGGTGTGCAAGCATTTATTTTGGGTTTTTATCAATGTGCTGTGTTTTTAGACTAATTGAGATAATGTACCATGTGACCACATCTAAAAGAAAGCACAAAACATAAAAGCAAAAAGCAGTTTTAATATATTTCTAAAATTCAATACAGGTTTTTGTTTTCTAAAAATGGTCACCATAACTAAAACTAAGAATGCTGTGGAACAAGATAAGAAATAATTACTTTGGCTAAAACACCAATTCCGAATAATAATAGTGCTACACTCATTTTAAGGGCTTTTCTGTCGAGTCCTTAGAGAGATTATTTGCATTCCTCAGGTATTCTATTGTACAATTCAGATGAATAAAGACTTACAAATCATTCCTCCACTGCCAGTGAGAGACTTTGATCCAGTGAATACACTATTGTACCTTAACTATAATTGGCAAAAAACCTGACAGTGTGTAGAGCATCACAAGCTTAATAACAAAGGAGAATATCTCAGAGTGTTGACAGATGATCTTCATAATGCAGAAGCAGAGCTGGTACATTTTAGCAATAAATGAGCATGGAGGTCTAAAGG